ATATATATATACATAAAATTTCCGTGCTGCTATCTAGTCATAAACCTTTCAAATTAAAATGGACCTCTCTGAAAGCTGGAGTAGGGTGGAGAGTGTGAAGCACCTTATTTGGATTTAAAGATCCATGCATCCATTCATTATCTATACCTGTTTCTTCCTTTTGGGGTCACGGGGGTCACTGGTGCCCATATCCAGCAGTCACAGTGCGAGGGGCGGGGTACACCCTGGACAGGTCCAACTGAGCCACCGTGCCTGGATTTAAAGAGACAGCTTCAAAACGAGTTGATCTGAGACACACCTCAGAAAAGGGGTGAAAGAGGGGCTTGTGGAGTTACAATAAGGAGGAATTCAGAACCAAGTATTGCAGTTCTGCTTTATATAGACTCCAACTGAATAATTTAAATGTGAAAAGAAAGGATTTAAAAGCCTGATATGTCTCCTTTTAAAACAGCTTTGAACCACCTGAACTTGAACTATTATATTAAGTTATTCAAGTTTGTTTTGCTAAAATTTGACTCATCACTACATGCAAATTGTTACTTATGTTCCTTCGACTTCCGATTACCACAAACAATTTATGCTTTGTTCTCAAATTGGTAATTACAATTGAAATATTCCTGCTGTGTTCATTAAAAAAAAATCCTTATCTTATTGGCAGTTTTATTTTTTTACCTAAATGTCTGCTTCTTGAACGATTAAGCACAGCTTATGAAATCTTAACATTCCAAAGAAATTAGATCAACATGTGCAGTAGTGTCTGTAGCCTCACTTCATCCACAGCTTTTATTTATGTCATTCTGTTCTGTATTGTTGCTCAGATGGGAAATTTTGTACCTTTGCATTTTATCAATTTTCCTGCTAAGCACTGTTGGGTCAAAGACAGAAAAAAAAACAACAACACTGTTTCTCATGCTCTAACTGTGTTGCCGTCTCATCATCTTTGTGGAAAACCTCACATTAAAAAGGTAATTCTGAAAGCGCCGTTTGTGCAGAGTTGTGCAAATTGCAGCATGGATTTCCCGGAGCAGCTTATCTAAAATGAGACACTTTCATGTTCTCCACAAGTCTTCTTACTTATGAGCTTATGTGACTCATCTGGGCTCTCTATTCTGCTGCTCTACTTGTGTACTGATTGTGTCCGTTAGGCAGAGGAAATAAAGCTGTAACCCTAAAGCTATCAGCATTATAGAAATGAGTCAACGCCCCAACCTTGTGCTCTGCTGTTTTAACAGATTTTTACGTGATGCCTGCCACACAAGGACATACTGTCACTCACTTAAACTAGCTAAGAACAGACATAACTATCTTAGTTTAAATTTGTTGATTTCAGCTTCTTAAAACCGATGCAATGAAGCACCTGTGTGGTGCAAAAAGAGGAGAATTAAGATTAAAACTTTAACGTACATCGTTTTGGAGAAAAGTTTGAATTTGATTGTGTATTTTATCCTGGAAAAAATATATTAGAGAGCAAAAGTAATTCCCATTTGAACACAATAACTCTAAAATATTTCAGTTTTGCTTTCAAGAACATAAACTTTCTTTTTAACAAAATAATCTTTGTAACTGTTATGTTAACTAATAACTTCAGGCTTTTTAAAGGTTTTAAAGAGTTTTTTTTTGGACATTTTTCTAATTATTAGTTTAGTCGCTGTATATGACATCTTTTTGAAGACATAGTAGGACTTTTCGTGCCATTTTACAACATAAATTGTGAAACAGATTAGTTTGACCAAAGTGTGATAAGTTTTATCCTCAAACATCTTGTCAGGCAAAGAATCAAATATGAACTCTAAAAGCATGTGGGTGGAAGTGTTATGATTTGTGGTGGCAAGAGCAAATGTGTAAATGTTAAGGCTGAAATGTACTTTTGCTTTTAACATAGGCAACATACAGTATTTGCACCATAYGACAAAAGGACTAATAAAAGTGTGTTGATCAACCCAGACATGAAACCACTTCAACTGTTGGAGGATTTGAAACGGGCAGCACATTTGAGGAAACTGTGGGAAACAAATATGAAAATTATTCACAAGAAAATACTTTTGCAAAACAAGTTTTAATATTTGCTCATCTTCACAAGGGTAAATGTGTACTTATATATTGGAATCACATTTTTTTCTGTTGTTTTCTTATATCGGAGTGGTGGGACATTATGTTGCATATTAATTTCCCAGCTTATTAGCRTGTCCTCATAGGTTTTGCAGAGGAAAAAAAAATCAAGTTTTAGAGGTTTCTGTGCTTTGACACCTGATTTGAATGAATGAGTAATCAAAGACCAGCTGAAATGCAGGGAAAAAAATAAAACATGTAGGACTGTGGCCCTCAAGGATCAGGACTGGATAAAAAAAACAGTCACTGTTGACCGTTAGTGCTATTTCCATTAACTTCTCGTTGTTTTGTTTCTGTGCATTTTGTTTAAAAGTGACTTTTTTAAACCTTTTCTTCAAATTTTTGATTCTACAATTTCTATTGGCCAAACCTTTGTTGTGCCATAAGCATTATTTTAAAGGCAGAGGTAATTATTTGTTCTTACTTGATAAAAAGTAAGAACGAATCTTTATTTCTGCCAATCGCCAAAACTTGGAGGTGGACAATAATGTTTTTACCTGGGTCTTCATGTTCTTGTCTCTGATAAAAATACACTATATTGCCAAAAGTATTTGCTCACCCATCCAAATGACTGCACCAGTGCCTGCACAGAGTCCTGACCTGAACCTGACAGAACACCTTTGAATTAGAGCGCAGACTGAGAGCCAGGTCTTCTGTCCAACATCAGTATGTGACCTCGCAAAAGTGCTTCTGGAAGAATGATCAAAAATCCTCATAAACACTCCTAAACCTTGTGGACAGCCTTCACAGATGAGTTGAAACTATTCTAGCTACAAAGGGTGGACCAACATCATATTGAACCCTATAGATTAGGAATGGGATGTAACCTACAGTAAGCTCATGTACTTTTGCATATACTTTCATATATGTATAAACCTTTGGCAATATAGTGTATTTCATGAAAAACTACATTTTCGATGAAACTCTCAAGAAATAAGAACTGGGCGTACCCCATTACAGCTGACTGACCTCAGACAACACCAAAAGTGGTTATGATTCAGTCAATGTTACGGATATTGTGCTAAAATTATGGTTGTAGCCAAGAGTGGCTTACCACACACAGTCCAAGGAGCAGGAGCTGATGACCAAAACATAAATAAAATATCCTTCTGTACATCATAAGATGTTTGGGGGTTTGCAGTGTGTTCCAGCTGGTGCTGCTCAGGATCAGTGGGACAGAGTAAATTCTGATGCAGTCTGATTTTCACTCAGGTTTACTGTACTCTGATGTGATGAAACAGTTTTTTTTAGAGTGAGAAGTATTTAAGTTTCAGTCATTTGTAAAAGAAAATCCTCATGATTCAGCCTCCTTTGCTCCATCTATTGTCTCCCTGACTTTAAGCCAGCCCAAAACTGTGATTTTTTTTCTTTTGATCAAACCATGTCTGATGCCTTTAGCCCACTGACCCATGCTGTGTTTCTGAAGAGAAAACCTGGCCCTGAGCTAAATCAGCCTTTTGTCTGTCTTCATAAGACGTGTCTCCCTGCTTGGCAGAGCTCAGGACTGAGGCTTAGCCCATTCAGAAACTGAGAGTGGAACAGGGAGCAAGCAGGTGCCAGCGCAGGAGCGAGGTGGCAATTTTTCATGCTTGCAGGTTTCTGACAGACCGTAAATCGAATTGCTGAGACTGCGAAAAAGCAAAGGGACTCTTTGAAGGGGGAACTCAACACAATAGCTTCAGCAACTTCTCAAGAAAGAGAAGAAAACGTTTCAAGGAGGTGAACAGGAAAGTAAGTAGGTGAGGCTGTGATCTGCAGATGCAGGTCCACCACAGCCGTCACATGATGCGGATTTCCRCTTTTACACGTTCTGTTTTTAGCTGAGCAGCAGAGCAGAGCTGCACAATAACAGAGCTGCTGCTGCCGCAGGTCATGATGCAGCTTTGAGAACGACGCCACCATGCAGGCCACCATGAGTTTCAACGGACTCCAGCCTCAGAGCAGCCAGGACAGTTCCATCCTGGATAACAGCCTGAGGAAGAAAGCTTCCCTGTGGTACCAGCGCTCACTGAGGGGGAACCTTGATCGACAYCGACAGACCACTGGCTCTCTGCCCAGAGTCTGCAAGGTGAGAAAAAAACTCAAGTGCAATTTATATAAAGGGCGCAAACAACACCACATTTCTAATTTACACTGTAAATCTGTCAAGAAAATTTTATTCTGCACAGAGATTCACAGAGATTTGTATGATTTTTGATTGAAATGAAAATAAGAGTTTGCTGCATTTGACAATTTAGAGTTCTTTAAATATTGAGATGTTAAAATAAACAACTTGCTGTGTAGTTCAAAGATATTACACTAGTTTTAAAATGTGTTTTCTCATTCTGCAGCCCAAGCTAACCCACACCACCTCACTGGTTGATTACATGGACCCACAAAGGTAAATGTGTGCATTTTCCCACAGCAGGTTCTGTTTTAGTTCAAATAAATGCAAATTCTGTATTTTAAATTTATTGCATTTTAATGCTTATTTATATTTACTAAATACATTTGATCACTTTATGCGTTTTCTTATCTTTTTTTGTTGCACAGGATCACAATTGTTCTGGAAAAGCAAGACAATGAACTATTTGGTTTTGACATTCATGTAAGCCGAATYCCATTTTTGTAACATTTAAACGACATATTTTATTAATAATCTGCACATCCATGTYGTGCTCGAAGTGATGTTTTGTGGAAAACTGTTTCTTGTTTTGCAGACGTACGGGGTGCAGCAGAAAAGCAGCTCTGCAGTGGAGATGTGCACCTACGTGTGCAAGGTGAAGGAGGCCAGTGTAGCTGAGAGCGCTGGGCTGACCGCAGGTGAACCACCCACATCCTTCTCACACACACGTTCGCGCTCACAGGACAGCGTTCGTTAAAAACTGACAGATGAAGCTCTCACCGCATGTGTGCACTCAGCATGTCTCTTCTAATTGAAACCAAAGCGTCTTCTCGTAACCGACTTTTTAAAAGTTTTAACCTCATTTGTCGTAGGCGATGTTATAATCTCTGTGAACGGGGTCAGCATCGAAGGACTGTCCCATGAGAACGTACTGAATCTGATAAGCGAATCGAGCAACAATCTAAAGTAAGAGCAAGTGCTGTCAGCGAAACACAACAAATCYTACACATAAAACAGTGTGATAACTGTGCTTCTTGTCTGCTTCCAGGATGGAGACTGTGTGTGTGAATGTAGTGAAAAAGATAGAAATGGAGAAGAGGCTGAACCAACTTCAGGTGGGTTCCCTCAATGGTCCGTGTTGATACTGTCACATTTATACAGAGCCGGCTCTTGGCATAGGCGAACTAGGCGGTCGCCTAGRMCGCCATCTGCTGGAGGGGGCGCCAAACTGCAGAAGAAAAAAAARGTAATTATTTGTAATCCCTGGTTGTAACTCTGCTCAGCGCCCCTTTCAGTTTGCTTTGTCTTAAAAAACTATAATGAAGTATTACAGGAAAAATAAACTACTCTACCCATAAAACATTTTCTCCCCCCAATGCAGCAATCACCCCCACCCTCTCTCTCATTTGATTGATGTTGCACTGACTCGTCCTGCTCCAACACTCTGATGGGGAGGGGCTAGTAGTGCCTCTCATGTAGTGATTCGTGTTCACAAACTCAATAATAAGTCTGTATTTTGTTGTCCCATACATGTCAACCTCTTCGGACGTTTGCCTGTATAAAAAGCCTCAAAAATCCGTAAATGTTTGCAAAAAATCCATACAACTTGCACCTGCTGGGGGGGTTCAGCCTCGCTGCGAAGCAGGAGGAAAGGAGAGTGGAAAAAGTTCAAAACTTATTTCTACAGGTTGGAAAATGGCTATTTACTGTTATTTATTGTTTTTTTAAATCATCCTACAAGCTCTGACATGATAGATAAATTTGAAAATGAGGTTTTGAAAAAATCCGTAAGACTTGAAAAAAATCCTATACGTCCGTATACCTGCAAAATGACGTAAAGTCCTTATAACTTATGGACAATCTGTACAAGTCGACATGTATGTTGTTATTTATTTGCTTTCTGGGAAAGCAAATAAATCTAAGTTTACCATAGTACCTTACACTGTCAAACTTGTTTTTAGGGGTTCAAATTGGGGTGGGTGGGACATAGTTTGGGGGGGGGGGGGCTTCAACTCGCCTAGGGCACCAAAATGGCTAGAGCCAGCACTGCATTTATAGAAAGCTCAACCCACAGAGGCACACCTGGAAGCTAAAAATCAACACTTAAAAAAAATACTGCTAGACTTTCATGACTTAAAAAGATGTCATTGCTAATTTGAGGTGTCAAACCAAGTCTTTGTGGTCGATCCTTACATCAAAATTAACATGTGAATTTTTTTTTTTTACATACACAGCAATCATTTCGTGAGAAATGGATGGAGCTTCAAGAGCTAACGATACAGGAAAAGCGTTTAATGCGAGGTGAGAGGCTTCGCTCAGCTGTCAGACCACAGCACTTCCTTTCTCACAGCCTCTGTCACTTCTTGTAAGCAGCCCTGTTTATCGTGTAAAATACTGTAGGGTGTAAACTCCAGATCATTTTGATGAAGGCATTCCCCTGASAGATGAGCAGACTGCTGACGAACTTCCTGATGCAAATTTCCTGGCCGCTGAAACTTCTCCTGACAGGGACTTTGTTGTGTTTTCAGGTAATCTAAACGACAGCAGTCTGGACCTGTTGACGGAGTCTTTAGCTGCTCTGAGCTCCCCCGTCGGCTGTCGTGGTCGCCGCTTCTCCAGCGACAGCAGCTACAGGAGTGGGACGACCGACGACAGCGACCAGGCCAGCGTGTTCGGGGATCTGGGCTCGCCCGGTCCCTTCAGCGCGGCCAGCGCCACAGACGAACGCTGCTTCTTCTCCAGAGACTTCCTCCTGCAGGACAACGCGTCCAAGAGGGGCTCACCGAACTCCAGCCTGCACCACCAGCCGCTCAGCCGCTCCAGCAGCTCCAGCTTGGCCGGCAGCAGCAGCTCTCTGTCTCCATCCTGGGAGGAAACGAGGATCTCGGCCTTGTTTGGGACTTTGCCAAGGAAAGGCAAGAGAGCCAGTGTGCGCAAACATATCCTGAAGTTAATTCCTGCACTCCAGCGATCAGTGGAGGAGGAGGAGATGGGAACCCACTGAGTGACAAGTTCATGAGCTCTTTAGGAGCAAAAACAGACACTCTAATGGAAGACCCAGCATTCCTTGACGGAATGCACATTGCCCGCTGCTTGCATACAAACATTTCAAACAAAGATCTTGAATGATTTGTTTGTGCTCATATGAATTCTGTTGGGGGATGACTCTCAGCTGCTACCACACCAAATCTTAACAGTATACAAAAACTGCACAAGGTATACATTTTTTTTTGAAAACACACAAACAGATGTAATTATTGATCACCCACTTTTTATGGCAGCGGGCAAAACCAAAGACTTGAGTTTGAGTTAACCCTTTTTTGTGAAACCGGACTACTTTTGTAAATGTTTACTTCAATGCTTTCTGAGCCTGCTTGGGTTAAAATGACAGCGGAAAAGCATTACAACATGAATGTGCACAGCATGAAAGTACACATGACACACTGTAATGTACAACAAATACATTTATGTATCCTACTAACTTGAATTAAGAATRTTTCTGAACCAAAAATCCCAATGTTAGTAGCATTAACCAGCGAAGATTGAGTTTCAGAGGTTGGCTTCATGTAGCACGTGAAATTTTGATACTGTGACCTGAAGTATGCAGGAATCACTGAATGACATTAAGATTTGAGCAGAACTTATACTGTCAGGTGCTCAAAACCAAAACCAGATCTCTAAACCATCTGCATATATATATTGTACGTCTGCCTGATTCAAAACAGGATGTGGGCAAGACAGTTTTTTCATAACCAACTTGACTTGGAGTCTTTGTAAATTACAACTCACTTTTGGTGCAGAGAGAGACTGAAACAGTTTGTGGATGGAAAAAGACATCTTGCAATGATTCTGCTTTTGATTCATGCTTTATCTTTTGCAATCAAATCAGGACGATGTTTATTTGTGAGAAAAAGCATTTATCCAAATAAATGTAGTTTTTTTATGTACACTTCAGTGTATTGACTTATTTTAAAGTTGCACAATCAGCTGGAAGAGAGCATTTCCTTCAATGCTGCAGGCACATACACTGTCTGTTTTTACAAAAGATGATTCGAATAAAGCACAGAATTTCTGACAGGAAAATTTTTGAAAAGACACAAATAAAAGCCTCATCTCTTTCCTGTAATAAGTTGAACCTCCGTGGCTTCCTGCATCTAAAAAGCTATAAAAAAGTACCGGTAGAGTACCAGTAACTGAAAATAAAACAAAATTACTGCACAACAATTTATGACGATGTGCTTATATTAATGTATAAAATGAAAACTAAAACAAAAAAGCATGCCTGAATCTAAAAAAACCCTCCTGTTTCCTTAAACAAAACAAAACAAAACATGAAAAAGCCGCAGAAATGCAGAGTTATGTCCCTTCGTAAAATTAGTATATGCAAGCCTATCCTTTAASTATACTCATTTTAAACTAAAAAATAAGATTACACTTCCAGTTTAGTTTTTATGTACTTATCTATGATATACTTAACCAAGTTTATCTTACACTATACTTGGCTTATACTAAGCGTTTAAGTATAATAATATTTAAACTTTTGGCCAAGATAAAATTTAGTAGTACACTGAAAGTACATTATCACACAGACTGGTTTATTTGCATTATATTTCAAGGTTAAACTAAAAGTATACTGTACTTAGAAGATTACTTTCAGTATACTTCTGAGTATACTTTCATAAACTTTTCGTTGGCCAATTTAGTCCTAGAAATACACTTGTTAGTAAACTGCTAGTATACTTACAGTATATCAGTGTATATGTGTGAGAAATACAGACATTGTTCAAATGAGATTATTAGTTGTGTTACTGTTTTTGTGTATTTGACTGTACAAAGAC